CGGAGCCCGCGCCGCCCCGCGCCGCGGCCGAGCAGCCCTGGGAGCTCGTCATGGACAAGAAGCACTTCAAGCTCTGGCGGCGGCCGATCGAGGGCAGCCACTTGTATCAGTACCGGGGTAATTCCGCTGGCGCGGGTGGGCTCTGCTTGTGGGATCTGAAGCTTTAGTGCCCCTTTCCCAGTGGCATTGGCCCTGCCTGCTGCTTGCCTGGGAAAAACGGTTTTCCTGGAGGTCCTGCTGCGCTGGGGTGAGATCCTGCTGGGGCTGTGACTGATTCTTTCCCCCTTTCCCGCAGTGTTTGGAACGTACACGGACGTGACACCCAGGCAGTTCTTCAATGTGCAGGTGAGTGTGGGGAAAGCCAGGATACACCGGGTGTTAGAAAGAAAGCATTCCCAGCCCTTGCCAGGGGGAATGGGATGGAAAACCGGTACTGTCTGCTCTTGGTATCATTTGCATGATATAGAAGAACTTAAGCTAGAACCTAGCACAGGTTGGAATGGGCCAAGTTATCTCGTTTACCCGCTCCTCCAGTCAATGTGTGGTGCTCAGCTCCTGCTGAAAGCGAGGTCTGGATGCTCCACTGCTCTTTATGAGGTTTCTGATCCTGGTTTTCCGAGTTTTTGTCCTCCTTTCTTGGCAGCTGGACACCGAGTACAGGAAGAAGTGGGACTCGCTGGTCATCAAGCTGGACGTCATCGAGCGGGACCTGGCCACAGGCTCCGAAGTGATCCACTGGGTAACCCACTTCCCGGTGAGCGACCCCTTCTCCTTCCCTCTCCGTGCGGCGCCACACGAGCGGCTCTGCACGCTGACTCCCCTCCTTCCCGTCCGCAGTACCCTATGTACTCGCGGGACTACGTGTACGTCCGGCGGTACCGCGTGGACAAGGAGAACAACATGATGGTGCTGGTGTCGCGGTGCGTGTCCGGCCGAGCCCCTGCGCGGTCCCTGCCTGGTTCTGCTGCCCTGGCTCTGACGCTCCCTTCCGTGTCCCCTCCAGGGCAGTGGAGCACCCAAGCGTCCCAGAAGACCCCGAATACGTTCGGGTGCGAACCTACGAGTCTCAGATGGTCATCCGGCCGCACAAGACCTTCGATGAGGTGGGTTTTTGAAGAACTCTGCGCGCGAATCTAAGAATCGTTCTCATCAAATCGCCCTGAACACCGGGAGCCTAAGAACCGTTCTCATCGCGTTGCCCTGACCCCCTCGCCGTCCTGCGAGCGGCCCTGAGGAAGGAACGGGGTCCCCAGCAGCAGAGCCCTCACGCTCGCTGCCCTCCTGCTTCTTGCAGAACGGTTTCGACTACCTGCTGACGTACAGCGACAACCCGCAGACCGTGTTCCCGCGCTACTGCGTCAGCTGGATGGTCTCCAGCGGTGAGTTGCCGCTTGTAACCCGCACATGGGAGCACCCCAGTATTCCCCCCGCCTTATTTTGAGTCACTCTGGGCTGTAAATATTGCCTGCTGCGCTGGCAAACAGGAGGGGAAGCTCCTCTCTGCCACAGCGCCTGCTCTGAAGTGCCCACGGGAGGAACAGTTTAAAGAAAGAGCATAAAAATAAAACGGTGCTTGCGAGGTCGGGAGGACCGACCAACCCCTTGTGCCGTGCGTGAAGCAGGAATTTTATCGCCCTCTCTTTAGAGGGGCAAAGGGGGGAAGATGCAGGGAGCTGCGTGCTGGCACAGTGGGAGGAAAAGGGCTCTGTTCGTGCTTCAATTTTGTTTTACAATAAAATAGATAAAAAGGAGCAAAGCAGGAGAAATAAAACCTGCAGCTGCTTGTAGACGCTTTGGCTGCAGTGATTTTTGTGTCTAGCATCACCCGCCTCTCATAAGGATTGATGCAAGCAAGAGTTTGAAGGCATTAACACACTGGACCACCTACCTCTTTTGCCCATTCTCTGCTTTTTCATCCCTAAAAACAGGAAAAAAAAACCCAAGTCTATCCTCCTGCCATGAACTTTCCTTTCACCACTTGTCTTTCAAAATACAGAGTTGAGGGTGTCTACGACAAGGGCCAGGGCTCAGAGGGGCCCTGCAGACGAGCAGAGCGTCAAGAGCAGAGCTCAATTCCAGCTGGTTCAGGACACGATCTGCTCAAACCACCTTAATCTGCCCCTCTCTCCGTCCTGGCCTTGCTGAGCTGATATGAGGGCCGGGGGCAGGAGGACTCCTATTCCAACCAGGATTCCTCATCCCAATCCTCCTGAGCCCGTGCTTCCTCGCTGTGGCTCACCCATGGCATTGAAGCGCTGTGGCGCGTTAACTCTGAGGCGGAATGACTCCTGCACGCCTCGTACCTGGGCCATCCTGGGCAAAGCCACACGCGTGTAGGGCAGGGAAATGTGAGATCCCAGAACGTTCAAGGTTGGAAGGGACCTCTAGAGATCATCTAGTGCAACCTTCCCGCTCAAGCAGGGACACCCAGAGCATGCGGCACAGGGCGGCATCCAGGCGGGTTTGGAGACCTCCGGAGAAGGAGACTCCACAACTTCCCTGGACACCCTCACCCTCACAGTGAAGAAGTTCCTCCTCACATGGAGATGGAACTGCCTGTGTTACAGCTTGTGCCCATTGCCCCTTGTCCTGTCCCTGGCCACCACTGAGAAGAGCTTGGCCCCTTCCTCCCTGCATTCTCCTTCATGAACTTATCCATGTTGATCAGATCCCCTCTCAGCCGTCTCTTCTCCAGGCCCAACAGGCTTGGAGAGCAGCCTGTTCCTGTCTCCAAAACAGGCCCAACTCACTCAGTCTCTGTATGGAGATCTCAAGGAGAGACCTTTTTCTTAATAAAATAGACTGAAGCCCCAAAGTTGGCTTTTTAAGCAAAAGGGAGCTAATTGGGGCTGAAATGTCACATTGAACGGGAGCATGAGGTGGCGGGTAAGAAACCTCTGTGCACCACTTCCCCCGGCTTGCGACTGCAGCCGCAGGCAGGAAGCGGCGGAGAAGGGTCGGAAAGGGGCCGAGAGCCGCGGAGCTGCCGCGGGCGGCGCTCGGCCTCGCTTCCYGCCGGCCTCGCTTCCCGCCGCCGCCAAAATACGTGATGAGCGCGGAGGAAAGCTAGGCAAGGGGGAAGCGAGCGGGAGAGAGGGCTTGAGGAGGAGCCCCGCGCTGCACCCCTTGCGCTCCGGGTGGGATTCGGGGAGCGCAGGGTGATGCCGGTGCCCGGGGAGGCTGTGGAGGCCACACTTCGCTTGCCCCCTGCTTGGCTCATTTTCTTCCCGCTTCTCCCGCCAGGAATGCCGGACTTCCTGGAGAAGCTGCACGCGGCCACGCTCAAAGCCAAGAAGATGGAGATCGAGGTGCGCGACTACATGTCGGCCAAGGCGGCGGGCGAGGGCGGCGAGGGCAAAGCGGGCGCCGAGCACCGCGGCGAGGGCCCGCGCGGCCCTGCCCAGCTGGAATACGCCTGAGCGGGACACGGAGCCGCTCCGGCGGCGCCAGGGCCAGGACGGCAACGCTGCCGCGTCACCGGTTCCCCCTTCCCGGGTGCGTCTCCCTCCAAAACCAACAAGGGACATCGGCGAAACGTCCTCGCGGCCCGGGCGGCGCCTCCCTGCTGCTCCCGGCAGTCCCGGGCATCCCGGCCGCGTCCTGCTTCCCCGGAGCCGCCGCGCTGCCGCCCAAGTGCCTCGCCGCGGGGGCGGCCGCGGGATCATCCCGCCGGATCTGGGGGAACGGGGGTGACGGTGACCTGCGGAGGGAGCCAAGGCGGCGTTTCTGCGCGGAGGGGATTTACCGGGATCAACGGGGGCCGAGCGCTCGGCAAATCCGAGCGGGATCCCAGGAGCTCTTCATGGGTGGGGGGGGGGGGGGCTGTACAACCGGCAAAACTCCTAATAAACGACCTGTTGCGGCTACAGGCGAACACCCGCCGGCGCCTGTCGTGCTTCCCGGGCAGGAGCCGGGAGACGCAGCCCCCGGCTCGGAGGGGAGGAACAACCAGCCCAGCAAAAGCCCCTGCCTTAAATCCCGCCTGGAAATCACTTGTTTTCCACCTGCCGCCAGAATAACATCCACAACAACCCTCCTCCTGGCTTATTAATCAGTTTATTTTATGCTGATAATTAACGAGCCGCCCCCAGCTCGGAGTTGCAGGGGGTTCGTGGGGATGAGACCAGCACAGGCGCAACCCCCAGGGCTCTTCATTACCCTCCAGCCGAGCAGCCCCGGGTCCCACCTGGCCCTAATTAATTAGCAGTAACGAAGGAGCTACAAGTAGCCCAGCTGGGGGCCGCTTGGGCCTTGGTGGTGGCAATGGCTCCAGCCTGGGGGGTTTGGCTGCTCCTTAGCGGTGGGTTTTGGCTGCTGGAAGGTGAGCGCAAAGCTCCCACGGCGCAGGGTGGGTCTGAGGGGTCCCCGATGGTTCCCCTCAGCCTTCGGCCTCATTTTGGCCCCTCAGCCTCCAGCCCCCTCCCAGGTGGCCCAGGCAGCCCCCAAGGTGATGGTGACGCCCCGCGGGGCGACGACATCCTCGGCATCAACGGAGGTGAGGGGCTCGGGGCGCTTTGGGGGCAGAAGGGACTCCTGGTGGCCCTGTCCTGTGGCGTTGCAGGAGCTGAGCTGAGCTGCCCCGTTCTCAGCTGCCCCCTCTGCCTTTCCAGTGCTGGAGGCCCCCAACAGCAGCTTCCTCCTTGAGGGGGACATCGTCCGGGCGGTGAGTGGGGACGGCGGCGCTGTGGGGCTGCCCTGAGCTCTTCAAAACTAAAAAGGAACCTAAAAATAATAATAATTACACCAATAAAAGGGTTTGGGGGAGGCTGCTGCTTACAAAGCTGGTGTGGAGATGCCCAAACTGCTGCTGGGTGTCCCTGTGTCCCTGAGCCCTGGCCGGGGAAGGGCGCCCTGGCCGGGGCGGATTTAGCAGCAGGATCTGCCCCCGCGTCCGGCCCCACCAGGATTCGGGCAGAGCCTTCTCCGGCGCCAGCGCCAAGTGGCCGAAGCGCCGCGGCCTCGTGCGGATCCCCTACGAGCTCTCGGAGCGCTACGGTAGGCGGCGGCGCGGGGGCTGCGGCGGCGCCCGCGGCCGCGCCGCTCAGCCGCCCTGTGCGCTCCCGTCCCGCAGACGCCGGCAGCGTGCGGGTCCTGCGCGAGGCGTTCGGAGACTTCGCCAGGCTCACGTGCGTCCGCTTCGTCCCCCACTCCTACCAGAGGGACTTCGTCTCCATCGCGCCCTTGTCCGGGTGAGCGCGGCCGCTTCGCTGGGGCGGAAGGCTCCAGGGTGGAGGTTGTGGCATCAGGGCCACTATGAGATGGGTGGTGGGGATGGATCCATGTCCTATGGGTCCATGGATTTCCCCTATGGGTCCATGGCCCATCTCCCCTGTGAGATGGGTAGTGGGGATGGATCCATGTCCTATGGGTCCATGCWTCTCCCCTATGGGTCCATGGTCTATCTCCCCTGTGAGATGGGTGGTGGGGATGGATCYGTGTCCTATGGGTCCATGCATCTCCCCTATGGGTCCATGGTCTATCTCCCCTGTGAGATGGGTGGTGGGGATGGATCCGTGTCCTATGGGTCCATGCATCTCCCCTATGGGTCCATGGTCCATCTCCCCTAAGAGATGGGTGGTGGGGATGGGTCCATGTGTGCCCATGGGTGCTGGGGACACGTGCGCCTGAGTCCATGGGGATGTCCCCTAGATGATGATGATGATGATGGCCGTGTGCCCATGGGTGCTGGGGACACRTGCACCYGAGTCCATGGGGATGTCTCCTAAATGATGATGATGGCTGTGTGCCCATGGGTGGTGGGGAGGACTTGCCCATCCACGACGGGCTGGGCAACGACGGCCCGTGGCAGCAGCGGTCAATGAATGTGTGGCGAAGAGGCGAAGGACGTGCGCCCACGGGTGCTGGGGCCCGCAGGCTCGCCCGTGGGTGCCGGGAGCGTCCCCAGGGCCCGGCGGCGGCTCCGTGGGGACAGCGCGTGGCCGTCCCCTCACCAGGTGCTTCTCGAGCGTGGGCCGCGCCGGCGGGAGGCAGCCGCTCTCGCTGGCGCCCGCCTGCCTGCGCCGCGGCAAGGGGGTGGCCCTGCACGAGCTCATGCACGTGGCCGGCTTCTGGCACGAGCACAGCCGCGCCGACCGCGACGACTACGTGCGCATCGCCTGGGAGCACGTCCTGCCCGGTGAGCCCGCGGCCCCGCGCCGAGCCCGCGGCGCCGCGCCGAGCCCGCCGTGCCATCCGCTCCCGCCTCCCCGGCAGGTTTCGAGGGCAACTTCATGAAGTCCCGCACGCCCAACATGCTCGTGGGCTACGACTACTCCTCGGTGCTGCACTACAGCAGGTGAGGCCGGTGCCACCGCCGCGTCCCCTCCTTGTCCCCGCGGTGCCCGTGGCTCTGAAGAACCCCGCTTCGCGCCCAGGTTCGCCTTCAGCCGGAGCGGGGCGCCCACCATCACGCCGCTGCGGTCGCCAGCGGCCGCCCTGGGCCAGCGGCGGGCACTCAGCGCCTCCGATGCCGCCCGCGTCAACCGGCTCTACGGCTGCCGGGACGTCGTGGCACCCAGCGCCCGCGTCCCGCCTGCCGCCGGCGGCTCCCGTCCCACCCTGGGGACACCCGAGGGATGCTCGGATGGATGCTCCACGCCGGGGGCCGGCACGAGCACCTAGAGCCCTTGAGGACGGGGACTTATTGCACCTGATCACACTATTTTGGGGGGAAATCGGGAATTAGTGGGAGCAACTGGGGCTTAACCTTCCTCCTGCATCTTTGGTCAGATGTGGGCAAAGAAAGGCTGTTTTCCCCAATTTCCCCCTCTTACAGGGTGGTTTTTGGTCCAAATAAACAGCGTAAAGGCTCGTAGCGAATTATATTATTATCTTTTTTTTTTTTTTTTTTTTTGCATGAGGATCTCTTCAAAGAAAATAAAGGTTGGAGGTGGGTTTTTTCTTTACCCAGGGGCGGGTTTTAAGGCTTTCTTGGCTCTCGCAGCTTGCTGCATTGCTCTAGCTGCTCCAGCCCCCTCTCAAGCGAATACTGCAGTGGCGGGGGCGCCCGGACGCCTGGGCCCCCCAAGCAGGCAGAGGTCCCAGCACTTCTACGCTTATTGCACAGCGGGGGGCAAGGCAGCGAAGCGTGACCCCCCTCCCCAACATGTCCTGCCCCCCCAGGGCAAGGCAGGGGGTGGGGGGGATCTCCCTGAGGTTATGCCCTTATTGAGAGGGGGGGACCCCATTAAAATCCCCCCGCTCGGCTCAATGGGGCACATCAGTGCCCAGGGGCCACCGGTTTGAGTCCAGCAACGGGGGAGCCTTGTACCGTGGGCAGGGGGGGCCGAGCCCCCCCTGTTCTCACCCCCACCCCGGCTCAGAGCAGGTTCTTGCTGCGCCGCGGGACGATCTTGCGCACGGTGCGGCGCTCGGACACGTTGCGCTTGACGCGGGCGCCGGCGGCGGGCGGCTCGGGCGCCAGCGAGGGGCTCGAGTGGGCCTTGGTGAGGCTGGGGGGCTCCGGGGGGGCGGCGGCGGCGCCCGCCTGCGCCTCCCAGCTCTCCAGGTCCGCGGCGCCCGCGCCCAGCCACGACTCCAGCAGCTGCACGTAGGTCTCGTAGCGGCGCTTCTGCGGGGCGAGGACGGGGCTGGAGCGGCGCCGCGCGGCGCCCGCGCCCCCCGCGCCGCCCCGCGCCCACCTCGTAGAGCAGGTAGTCCCTCTTGGCGCGGTACTCGTCGAGGTCGCGCGCGCGGCCCCGCTTCTCGGGCAGGTTGCGCTGGTGCTCGAAGAGCTCGGCGGCCAGCTGGTCCATCCAGGCCTCGTGCGAGCGGTGCTGCTCCTCCTGCGGGGACGCGCTGAGCCGCCGCGGGGGCACCGGCACCCCCGCTTCCACCGGCATCTCCACCGCCACCCTTGGTCCTCCTCCTGGAGGACCTGCCTCCACCGCCATCTCCTCCTCCTCCTCCTCCACCATCTCCTCCTCCACCACCATCTCTACCAGCACCCTTGGTCCTCCTCCTAGAGGACCTGCGATGCCATCTCCTCCTCCACCATCTCCTCCTCCACCGCCATCTCCACCACCACCCTTGTTCCTCCTCCTGGAGGACCTGCCTCGCCATCTCCTCCTTCACCATCTCCACCAGCACCCTTGTTTCTCCTCCTGGAGGACCTGCCTCCACTGCCATCTCCTCCTCCACTATCCCTACCAGCACCCTTGTTCCTCCTCCTGGAGGACCTGCCTCGCCGTCTCCTCCTCCTCCTCCTCCTCCACCATCTCCTCCTCCACCACCATCTCTACCAGCACCCTTGGTCCTCCTCCTAGAGGACCTGCGATGCCATCTCCTCCTCCACCATCTCCTCCTCCACTGCCATCTCCTCCTTCACCATCTCCACCAGCACCCTTGGTCCTCCTCGTGCAGCGCTCAACAGGGCACCGCGGTTGGGCACTGCGGGCTGCATGAGCTGGGTGAACCTGCCACCACCACCCTCCCTCCACCACCATTGTGGCCCCTGGCGGCCCCACCACCATCACCAGCCCTATCGCCGTTATCGGCAGCACGGTGGTCCCGAGCGGCGGCCGGCCGGGCTCACCGGGGCGCAGCGGCTGGGCGCCGCGGGCAGGATGGGCCGGATGAACCTGCGCTGGGAGCTGACGGCGGCCGGGAAAGGCGGCGAGGAGAAGAGGGCGGCCACCAGGTTGATGCGGGAGATCCACGAGGCCATCTCCTCGGCGCTCCTGCGGGAGGAAGGTCAGAGCGGCGGCGCGGGCGGCGCGGGCAGCGCGGCGCCGGGCCGTGCGCGGGCACTCACGGCGCCTGCAGCAGGAAGACGCGCCAGTCGGCCGTCTGCAGGCGGAACACGTTGGGCCGCTTGGTGTACTTGCTGGCGCGCTCGGCCAGCGCGTGGTGGATGCCCAGCGGCTCCTCGGCGCCCGGCGCCTCCGCCCGGCTCTCGTCCTGCGCGGCGGGACGGGCAGAGGTGACGCCCGGACGCGGCCACCGCGGCGGCACCCCGTGATGCGGCTCCTACCTTGAGGAAATAGAGCACGGTCCCCCTGAGCACCGTGTGGAAGGTCTTCCAGCCTCTCTTGCCCCAGGGCGCTGCAAGAGGAGGACGGCGGTGACCACCCGGGGTCCCCACGAGGGGCCCCGCGCCGCGTGCGGCACCCACTTTTCTTGCCGTCGGCCTCGGCGTGGACCTTGCGGGCCAGCAGGCCCTGCCGGTACGTGGTGGCGTCGGCGGCACGCGGCAGCTCCACGAAGGGGTTGCTCTTCTTGCGGGCGGGCGCCGGGCGCTGCCGCCGGGCGTCCTCGTCCTCCTCCTCGTCACCATCATCCCTGCGGCGAGACGGCGCGTCACGGGGCGCCACGCCGGCGGGGACGCGGGGCAGGGGGCACTCACGCTGCCCACTGGAGCTTCTCGTTGCGGATGGAGCTGTAGAGAGCCTGCGGGACGGCGCGGAGGGTCACGGTGACTGGGGGACATCCCCGAGGCAGGGGTGTCCCCGAGGCGGGCGCGCCCCCAGACACGACGCTCTGTCCCCGTCCCCAACCTTGAGCTGCTCCTTGGGGAAGTTCTGCCCGTCCATCATGCCGTCGAGGTTGGCCACGAACTCGGCGCTCGTCATGGCGCGGCCGATGTTCTGCGGGAAGCCGGGCAGGGGACGCGGGTGCCCCTCCGCCGTCCCCCGTCCCCTTCCCTGCTCCGGCCCTTACCGGCCCGTGCAGGTCCGTGTTCAGCAGCATGATGGCACACGTCAGCGAGTGCACGGCATCTGCGGGGGGACAGTCACCGAGGGGGTCCCCGCGCTCCTCCCGCCCGCGGTTTGGGGGGGACGGGGTCTCACCGGGCGAGGGGAAGGAGCCGGGGTTGCAGCAGTGGTAGCGGCGCGAGAAGTGGCCCAGGATGCGCTCGCGCTCCTGCGTCTCGCCCGTCAGCACCAAGGCGCCCAGGAAGGACCTGTCGGGGGGGACGTGACACTGTCACCGCAGTGCTCGTGGATCCCCTGGGTCCCTGGAGAGCCCCAATTTGCCCCCGTGGCCCTGGCACAGCCTCATAAGCCCCCCAGTCTGCCCCCACGGAGCCCAAATCTCTCCCTGCTGGATCCCAAAGACCCCAAGTCCTGTCCCCCAGCTCCCAGGGGACCCCGAGAACCCCTGTTTGCCCCCCACCCTGGACCCCAAAGACCCTGGTTGTCCCCCCTGAGCCCCAACAGACCCCCCCAAACCCACCCACCCCGGAGCGCCCCCCATAACTCTTGCGCTAAGGGCCGCACCTGAGCGCCCGGTCCAGCGCCTGGCCGCCGAACTGGAAGAGGGCCAGGTACTCGTGGGCCACCATGGCGCTGAAGTCATTGCTGGGGACACGGGGACCGGGCTCAGCAGGGCCGGGGCGGGGGCCCTGCCAAACCCCCCTCCCCGTTCCCGCATCCTTACTTTTTCCGGAGGAAAGCGGCCACCTGGGAGCGCTTGAAGCCGTCCAGGTGGAAGAGGCGGGCGGCCAAGCGCTGCGCGTCGGCACGGCCCCCGCCGGCGCCCGCCCGCGCGGGGGGCTGCGCTGCCCGCCTGGGGGGCACACGGGGGGGTCTGAGCTCTGCCCACCACGGGGACAGCGGCGGGGGGTACAGGGGGGACACGCAGGGTCTGGGGAGCGGCGGGGGCATGGGGTGGCATGGGGAGATGATGGGATTTGGAGGGATGGATGGATGGAGGGGGGAGCTGCGGGGGAAGCAGAGCTGGGGGCACCCAGCGCCCTCACCCCTGGGTGCTGCCGGGGGGCTGCGGGGGGGCCCCATCACCCGTGTCGGGGGGCAGCTCCTCCACGGGGCGGCTCGGCGGCGGCAGCGGGGACACGGTGGTGGGCTCCGCGCTGGTGTCCCCGGTGGTGTCCCTGGTGGTGGCCCTGGTGGTGGCCCTGGTGGCAGCCGCGGGCCATGGCGGGGCAGGTGCTGCCCCCTCCCGTGCGCAGGGGGGGCCCGGGGGGCCCTGCTGCCAGGCACAGCGCCCCCCTGCACCCCCGGGCCCCCCCCGGCGCCCCCCGGGCCCCCGCGGCGGCAGCCCCAGGTCGGGCAGGGAGGGCACCTGGGGGGCCCCACCAGGGCGGGGAGGGGG